TTTGTAGGCCAAGGATGACTGCTTTTGAACCATGCAAAGGGCAGGGTGTCTGGCATCTGTCTCAGGGGTCTATAGGTTTCCATCAAAGAATCCTTCTGTCAATTACCCTGATTAACCAAGAGCAGATTTCATCCTGCTGACCTTGGGCTTCTGTTCTGTGTTTGTTAATGTGATTCGGGGCTGAAATCTTTCTTGTTTCCTTGGGGCTATTCTGCTAACTCACAGACCTGTCCACTGCATTTAGGGTAACTGCCAAACCATGTACATATTGTAGGTTGTCATCTTAAAGATCAGGATACTCTTTTTTTATGTTCCATTTTGTTCATTCAGAAAAAGAACTCTTTACTAATTATCTTGAATACTGGGTTCTAAGAGAGATAAAAACATAAGTGAGATGTAGTGCTCATCAAGAGCTCAGGCTCTTTGATGAGCCTGAGGCCCAGACTTCCCCTCCGTGGCTTTCCTCTCAGTGTCTTGACAAAGAAACAGTAAGTGCTTCCAGCCTAACCATCTCTTTCTCCCGCCCCTCCGTCATAAGGGTGAGCTTGTCGGCCACAGACTGTTACATCGTGCATGAGATCTACAACGGGGAGAACGCGCAAGACCAGTTTGAGTATGAGCTGGAGCAGGCCCTGGAAGCCCAGTACAAGTACATTGTGATCGAGCCCACCCGCATCGGTGATGAGACTGCCCGCTGGATCACCGTAGGCAACTGTCTACACAAGACCACCGTGCTGGCGGGTACTGCCTGCCTCTTCACCCCATTGGCACTGCCCTTAGATTACTCCCACTACATCTCCCTGCCTGCTGGTGTGCTGAGCCTGGCCTGCTGCACCCTCTACGGAATCTCCTGGCAGTTTGACCCTTGCTGCAAGTACCAAGTGGAGTATGATGCCTATAAACTGTCCCGCCTGCCCCTGCACACACTCACTTCCTCCACCCCAGTGGTGCTGGTCCGGAAGGATGATTTGCACAGAAAGAGACTGCACAATACGATAGCACTTGCTGCCCTGGTGTACTGTGTAAAGAAGATTTACGAACTCTACGCTGTATGATTTCAGTAGAACAGAGAGAAGCAAACAACCCAGCCCACAAGAGACAACAGAGTATTCAGGTTGCACAGTAACATTTTTGCTCTGTGAGGCGTCAGAGCCGGGGGAGGTGTTTGGTTTAATATTTGTTATTTTAAAAAAAAAAATAGCACAGATCACAAATGTACCAAGGGTTTTTCAACTCATCACACTAAGATGTGGATTTCCGTAATCCACAGGGAGTCTGAGGCTATGGAAGTCTGACTGGGCAGTGGAATGTTAATGTAAGCATTGCTGCTGAGGGGGTGTGAACGCGCTTGGGGGTGGGGGTCTTTAAGTATATTGTTTGGCTGTACCATCCAGAGCCAACCAGAAGCTATTGACCATTAAAATTATGAGAATTTCAACTCCAGGTGTCTTCTCTTTTCATGGCTGTCTGCAGCTGCTGCTGCGCAGTCTGTTCAGAGTGGCAGCTTGCATGTAGAAGGAGTTGGCAACATGAAAACCACCCTGTTCCTTGCTGCAGCCTGGTGCCACCATTTGCAGCAAGGACAGGCCTTTGAACAAGGCAGGCTTAGACCCAAGATAGCCCTGGGGCCGGACCCCTCCCAGAGCAGTCTCATGTCTCACTCTGGCCCGGTTTCCATGGCCAGCACTGCTAAATGGTGTTCAGGGACATGGTAGAATAGGGTGGCAAGGCCTAAAGGTCACTGGGTTTCCACATGGGTTCATATGGGAAACTGGGGCCTGGGATCTTTTGTCTAGATTCTGATTTGGAAAGACACAAAAACATCTGCATTTTTTTAAATCACTGAAACTGTTCTTGACGTGGACCCTGAGTTCAACCCACTGTCCCTAGGCTGAGGGAAGAGTCCTCAAAGCAGCCTCTGCAGCACCCTGCCCCTCTACCTGCCTGGTGCCACCATTCCACAGGAGCCGGGTCCCATGCTCCTCCCTCACACCAAAGGGCATATTATGCATCATTTCCCACATTCCCTGTAAGGCTTTGGATAAATGAAAAATTATCCCCTCCACAAAGATTTCGGGTCCCCTGCTTAACTGCAGCTTTCCTAAGACCTCTGTTCTCAGCCAGCTTTGAAGAGCTACATAGTACTTTTGAAGAGCCCATGTTTAAGAGGCAACCATACTGATTTTTCCCCTACTTTTAAAGGATTTATCAGGAAGATCTGATACCAGACAGTAATGAAGGGGTGCACAGGAAGGCATCAAAGGAGTGACTGGGCCAGTTTTTGTAGGGGGAGACCCAGAGCTTTAAAAGGATTTCAAAAGGGACTCATGGCCCACGAAGAGTCTGAGAAACTGATTTAATTCCAGGGGCCCTAGAGATACTAATTACTCAGTTAAGTGCTCGGTGGCCACAATGGTGTTGGGTAAACACTACTGTTTACATGGCAGTGTGGCCATCTGGAACAATGGTGAACTGGTAGTGGTCACAAACAGACCTCACCTTGACTGTGTAGTGCCCATGACCCCTCGCACGTCTTGACTGCTGGCTCTTGAACCTGCTAGGCAAGAATGGTAGGTATTTTTGTCCACATTTGGAAAGGGAGCCCTATGCTCTGCCTGCAAATCGGATTTCATGGGGGAGGCAGCTAGAAGTAGACAAGCAGTAGCCATATCAGGGCAGCTGAGCAGAAGCCCTCATTAGAAATAGAAGCCAGGTGTACTGAACAAAGTGATTCTTGTTGGGCGGACTAGCTCAGATTCTGAAATGCCACCTTAGTTATGTGTTCCATGCCAAGGAGGTGAGGATGTGGTGCTGTCATGGACCACAGGGCAGGGGTTTTAGATTCTAGGGCTCTACTTTAGCAGTGCCAAGTTAGCTGGGAAGGAGAGCAGCAGAACCACTTCTGTGCCTAGACAGCCTGGCCCTTCTGTTGGCACTGACTTATCTGTTTCTGCCACCTTCTACATATATGTCACTGACAAGTGGGCAGTGTTCATCAGTAACATGCCACAACGCTCTTGAAGAAACAGCCTTAAATAACTGCCAACTGAGAGAAAGAAGAGGCCAAGTTGGCTGGGCCCTCCTCTGCAAAGTCCATATGCATGAGTCCTGGCTATATCACTTCATGCAGTTCACTGAGTTATTTAAACTGTCCGTTTCACTCCAATTTCAGAGAAGAGCAAAGACCTTTCATAAGGTCCAACTCATCAGGAAATGAGAGCAGACCCTCGCAAACTCGTACTGTCTCTCATGTTGTTACAGTCTTAGCTCCTTCCAAAGTATAGTGTTCATATCTGATTCAGCAGCTGTCAACTCCTGATGAGGAAGGGACGTTCCTTCCTCAGTGCCTGCTAGGAACCAGGCAGTGTGCCCAAGTAGCTGTGCACTCAGTATATCAAGAGATATACGTGTGAGCTACAGCCACTCAGTAGTGCACAGATGTACAGTACTGCTGTCTGGAAAAACTAATTTGGTTTTGTAGGGGGAGACTGATTTTGGCATGAAGCACAAGACAGCTTGCTTCCGCCCTTAGACCAGTGAAACACCAGGAGTCTTAAGGAGTAAAGTGGAAAGTGCCTTTGAACTTCATGAGAAGGCAGAACTAATTCAGAATTGTGCTTTTCAAATCTACCCAGTAGAATTCAGGGATGAAAGAGATGGAAAAACAACACTTGATGACAAAAGAGAAATTGGAACAGCAACAATACCACTACCCCTGGTGGCAGGTGTTCATATTCAAATGTAGGTTGAGACTCCAAGAATGAAAGGCCAAGGCCCGTCCTGGCCCAGCTCCCCTTTTCGAGGTGCTCTTGTGTGTGGTGCACTTGCCTTCAGGAAAGTGCTGTGCTGCCATCCAAGTCACAACAGCAGGCTCAACAAGCCCCACCTTTACGCAGTGTTCTCTCCAGGGGCATGTAACTCCAGAGGGACCTGAGATGGCTATTGGTGCAACATGGACATCAAAGAACCCTGAATCACTGGCCCTTTTTAGTCCTCTTCCTAGTCTCTGAGCATCTGTGTGGTGCAAACACATCTTTAATACCTTTGACATTGCCAACCTCCTCAAGAGCAGCTGTGCTTCAGACTCAGCCTTTGGCAGACAGTGAATCTAGTTGATTTTAATGGTCCTGTATTACATTATTTTCTATTTATATGGTCAAGGTACAGCAAGTGAGTTGAGTTTTTTTAAATGTTAGGTAAATAAATATTCAGTGTTATCTGGATATGAATCAAGTGTCATATCTAGGTTAAGAGACCCTTCGTGTCTGCTCCAAGCTCTATGTCCCAACTCACACCTGGGAGTCGGCTTGGTAGGCTTCCAGCCACTATCACAATGGGTCCAAAAGCAATAACCTCAGCAACATAGTTGTTGCTGTCTTTTGATGGAGTATGTGCTTGCTAAACCTGCACTCCTCAGAGGGCAGTATATCACATCAGTCTCCTGTTGCTGACTATTTTATTTAATCGAAAATAAAGGACAACACCTGGACATGGGTCTTTTCTAAAGTGCCAGCCAACAAGTGTCCAAGGAGAGATATTCTCTCATTCCCATTTACAGAGACAGCTTCCTCTATCACTGCCTTTTACTGAGGACCTGCTATGCATTCTGCAATTTTATTTGACCTCATACTTGGGATAGGCTTTAGTGTGGTGGTGGCTGCTGTCTCAAATCCAACTATTCCCTGACATGAACCCTAAGGAGCCCTTTCTCTTCCATGTCAGGAGAGAGGTAGATGGTTTCCGTGGATAGTGAAAAGCCACCCATCACGTCTGTATCTACATTCCAACCATGGGCTCCTGCAGTGTCTAGGCCCTGTTGGGAGCTGGGATAGGTCACCAGACCTAATCATCTACTTGCTCTCCTACTCTCAGGAAACTCAAGAGCCTTGAATACCCAACTCACAGGCTGGCTTTGGCCATTTTTTTTTAATTTTGTGGGTAGCCGTTTAAAATACAAGCTCTATCAAGTCCAGAATTAGGACACATGTAAGGTGCCAGTATAATATGCTAGGAGATTTTTATTCCAACTTGGGGAAGCCTATACAATGGACCCACAATTTCCATTGTCAGCTTCAATAATGGGAGAAGTTTCATCCTAAACTTCAGGTATGAAGTTGACTTACTCAATGAACCTCAGAAAGGTGGATGCAGGCATCCTTTTTGGCTATGCTCTAACTGTCATAGCTAATAAACGGGCTGCTTCCACCAGAGACCACATGCTTCTTTAGAACCCCTTCCCACCTGAGTTTCTGAATATTATTTTCTAGAGGATAATGAAGTCATGTGGGATCTTCCTCTTCCTTTGGGCTGCTGGCTCCTTAGTAAATTCATCTTCTGGTTGGAGTGGTGCCTGACCCTACAGGGCTTTGAGTAGGAGTCAGTGGAAACTGGGCAATACCTTTTAGGTACTAAATCTGGTGTCACTTGGGATATGTCAAATGATCAATCACATATTAGCCCATTTGCTGTGTTGAATGAGATACTGTAGGAACCTGGAAATGGAGGAATATGAATGACTTCTTAAAACTACAGCCTTCTCCCTTGAGTATTGGAAGTGGACTCTGCCAAAAACAATTAGGTAAATGGTCTTGGATAAGTTAAATATGAAAACAACAGGGTCAAGGTGATATCAGGATGTCTTCTGATGTTAAAGACTGAAACATTTCTGGGAGCTGGCAGAGTCTGGAATTCAAAGGAGACGTGATTCTTCTAGTCCTTGAGGACTACGACTCTTACTGTTCAATTCATTTATTTCATATTCTTAGCATTAAAACCCCACTCCATATTTATTCCTTAAGTGTTACCCCTCACCCCTGAGAAGAAAAGCCTGTTGCCTATTTTGTTTCCAATTATCTGCCAGCAGGGTCTTTGCCAGGGAAAAGAAGTGTAACTGTAGAAGTGTATTTCTATCTTTCCTACCTGTGAGATAAATATCCAGTAAAGTCTCAACAAATGCAGCTCTCCCTTGTAGAACAGCCATTCCCAAGCAGGTGCTACTTCCTGCCCCAGTTCTGTTGCAGCACTAGGAGTTCTTGGATTTCTGCTCCTTTCTGGCTCGAGAGGCCATGAGGCTGAAGAAGAGCCCAGGAGCCAGAGTTCGCAAATAAATGGCCAAGGAAGGCAACAGGTCAGCCAGGATCACATCTTTCTTTTTCTTCCCCACAATAGCCAGAACATCTCGGGCCACATCCATAGGCCTTCGGCCCTGTGCTGTCGTCTTGTCCATAACTAAAATAAATAAAAGAAACACATGAACTTGGAAGCAGAGTCTCTCTCTTGAGTTTAGCTGATGTGGACCGTCATCAGGTTGGCTTGCTGGATTTCATATCATGAAGCTCCTTCCAGTCTGTCAGGAGGCAGGTGGTACACCACCTTCCTTGACTCTTTCATACTTCAAGGAAATGAGGACCTATTCTGCAGCTCAGTGTTCATGAGCTGGGGTAAAAGAGATGTGGGTCGTAGATAGGAATAAGGTAGACAGGGCCCTAGTCAGTGCTCAGAGCTGCTGGTCCACGACAAAGGATGAAGACCAGCCCAGAGTTAGTCCCTCACATGACAGATGAGGAGGAGCTTCCTGATCTTGACAAGTTTTGCCTTTTGAAACAACCAATGACTAAGGATGTTGTACCATCAATTAATCTTGGATAACCTGGCTTGAGGTCTGCCAGGTAGCGAGTGGGAAAAGATTATGACCCCCAAATGTACTACGAGCTCACTGAAGTGAAAGCGAAGAAGTGAGTCAGAAGAGATATCACAGTTCTCCACATCATGTCTTAACTGGAGAGCAAGCAGAAGAAATCTTAGGTTTGTTTTAGACATTAAATAGCTGCAGGGAGTTTAGGAAGTGTTAGGCTACTTAGCAACAACTTATGTTTCTTCTTCCCTAGTAATCCGACAATTTTGCCAACAAAGTGACAGGAATAGAGGAGAAGCCACTAGCACAGACCATTTGAAACCATTTGTAAATTGTCCAAATTGTCTGAGCTTCCTCATCAGTATCTGTTCTCGTTAACGTGGAAGACTAGGAGGTTTCTTATTGTTGCTTCTTTTTAAATAACACTGAGGGAATTTTTTTAAAAGATTATTTTACGTATAAATAATATAAATACTAATCTCTCTGAATCTATGCCTCTGGTTTCTACCGACTTACTGAATGAGAGCAGCTGCCATCCAGTGCCTGGACGGCCTTGCTTCAAGTCTGGCCGGGGTTAGGTGTAGAACCAGGAGGACCCTGGTGATGCCACAGCACAGGCCCAAGAGATCACACCCAGGGAGGCAGGACATGAAGGACAGTACTCAGGGTGGGTGGGCCCCATTCAAGCTTGGGAAAGTAGAGCCAGCTCCCACAGCAACAACTCAGGTGGGTTAACTAACCTGGGAGGCAAAAGCCTGGATCTCTGCTTGGCCTGAGCCTGCCTGCATGCATGGGCTAAGCTGTTAAGTCCACTCGTGGTAACTGCAGGTCAGCTCAGCACTGTTTGGCTGAATCAATATGTAGATTCTGAGACTGGTGCACCCACCTCACCTCAGAAGACTGGGCTCTCTGCTTTGAGTATCCTGAATTCAGTTACTTCTGAAGCATAGTGGGTGGGGAAATTCTGGGGTCAAGCAACCCATAGTTTCCTGGAAGTTAATTCACCTTATCTTTACTTTAATTCACTGAGAATGGGTTAGGAAGGAGACTGGTATATTTCTGTTTGGCGACTTCCTTTCCAGCCCTCAAAGTCCTAGCCTACAGGGGTCCTGCCCTGATAACTGTGAAGGGCTGATTCGTGGTAAATGAAAATTACTCAACAGTATATAAAACTAATACCCATATGTAAGTTTTTTCATTTTAAAAATTATGTTCAAATGAATAAGCAAAGATTTATCAGGTAAGAGCAGAATGTCTCACTGTGGCAACAGCTTTTCACAAAATAAAAGAGAAACTGGGGCCTCACCTCCATATTTGGAACCATCAGCAGTGATGGCATTTAGAGAGAGGTTGGTCTGGATGTAGCCAGGGCTGATTACGGTCACCTCAATTTCATACTGTTCCATCTCAGCACGCAGACAGTCAAAGAATGCCTGGGTTGCATGTTTGGAGGCCGCGTCTGCAAAGGTTGATGGCCAGAGGCAAGTGAGTGAGCTGGTGCTGGGACATGGCCTAGAACAAGCCCATGCATTCATGCCCATTCATTCTCTTTTATTATTTAAAAAAAAAAAAAAAAAAAAAAAGGTTTATAATTAAATTTCTCCCATGCATTCATGCCCATTCATTCTCTTTTATTATTTAAAAAAAAAAAAAAAAATGGTTTTATAATTTAAGATTCCTATGGTATTATAGCAATGTTTTTCTCCCGATTTAGAGAAGTACATTGTATCCTTGTTCTTAGCAAACACCCAGGAAGAAAAGAGCATCATGTCTCCAACTTTCTCCTAATGGTTCAGGAAAGAAAAAATTTTAAATTTAAATACACGCATATGTGTATACACACACACACAGAGTATGATAAAACAAATATTGTAAAATGTTAACAACTGGGGAATCTGCATGAAGGGTACTTGGGAGTTCTTTGTATTTTTCCTGCAAGTTTTCTTTAAGTCAGAAATTATTCCACTTTAAAAGGTTAAAAAAAAAACCCTAACAAAAAAACTTAATACCTAATGGGTAAAACATTCAAATAGTACAGAGGGATATAAAGTAAAACAGTTAAAGCTCTGCCTTCCAATTACATTCTCCAGAAGTAACCAATGCTAACGGTCTCTCAGGATATATTTTTTATGTATCTTATGTACATATGTGTGATTTAACATATAAGAAATTTTTTTTATAGAAATGAGCTCATACTGTTCATATTATTCCTGTAAGTAGCTTTCTTCACCTGGTGACACAGACTGGACAGCCTCCATGCCAGCCATGCAGACCCTCTATGCTCCTCCATGGGTCATAAGACTATAGAACTGGCCCCATCAGTTGACTTTCATGGGTTGTTTCCAGGTTTTATCACTGAGCAAGTGAGCACCCTTGCACGCATAGGATGTGTGTATATAAAATTTGAGGCTGGTTCTCTTACATATTTCATATGACAAACTTCCATGAAATGGCTTTTCATTTGGAACAGCTATTGAGCTTGCTCCACTTCTAAGAAATGGAGGCACCTCTGTTCTTCAGTAATGGCTACAAATCATGGTGAAAGGTACTCTGAAGGGGGACACAGTGACCATACAATGACATTCTTGGGAAACACAGAGTATCTCCACTGAAAAATCAGTTTCCTCTAAATGTTTTAGCCTTCGCAAAGGGGGAGCCATCAGCCAATAAAATAGGAAGGGAAACAAACCCAGGAGTGTCATAGAGAGTCACATGAGAAATTCAACAGTGTCTGAACTTGCTACAGTGCCTTCCAGGGCCAGCTCCTTTGGTTTAGGCCAAGTTGCTGGGGGCTGGATGAACAGTCTGTGGGTTGGTAGGTGGAGAGAACTGCTCCTGTCAGCCGTGATTCCAGGAATGCTGCCCAGGCTCAAGGCCTGAGAAGAGGCAGTCATCCTGGGAGTCCTCAGAATAGAAGGCTGCTCCCTGACAATGAGTCTCCCAGAGCTCTCAAGCTGGAGGTCCTTAGCCAGGCTATGCTGACCTAAATCAACACACTGATGTTATAGTACTCGCCTCTCTTGTCTACAAGGCACATTGCTAAATACACCACCTCAACCACCTCACTTCGTCTTCATGAAAGCAGTGTGAGGGAGATAAAAATGTTCTCCCAATTTATAGATGAAAAGACTGTTGCTCAGTGTTCACTAATGTGCTCAGGAGGCACTGCCACACTCAGTCTGGTCATTATAAAGTACCCAGACCAGCCATGTGTGCCTTACTTTAGTCACAGGCCAAGTAGAGAACAAAACTCAGATTAAACCAAAGTAAAGCTTGGAAATAATTTAATGCAAAGAACATGGAATAGCCTTTACTCTGACTTACCTATTACTAACGGCTTACCTCATTTGTTTTATCATTCATGATTACACACACACAGACACACACACACACACACACAGAGTTATTTGAGCAGTCTTAGATGGCTGTCCTATGCTATTGGAGTTGAAACAGAGGTAACAACCATAGAAACAAACATGTATACAATGCTTCACAGTTTACAAAGGACTTTTCATCTCCATTTGTCTTGTTTCATCTTTAAAACAGCTTCGTGAGGCATGTAAGATGACTATAAGTCTCATAAGAAAGGAAACGGAGGGTCAGACAAATTAAACAACTTGCCCAAGGACACCCAACTAAAACCAAAAAGTAGAGCTGGGTCCAGAGAGAAAGAGTAAGTTTCTGTTACATTTCCAGTTCAGACAGTTGGCTAAACCATATCATCCAGCATTGGATGTCTGTTCCTGTCCTTTCAAAGTGCTGAAGCAGCTCTGCTCTCCCTTCCTTCTCTGCCAAGTCAGCTGGGTGTGGCTGAATCTAGCATTTAGAGGTGGGAGAGCAGATGAGTTGGTTACAAGTCAGCATTTATATCCAGAGAGTAGAGCAAAAAAAAAGGGAGTTACTAGGACAGTTTGTGAAATTACCTTTAAAATCTTTTAACTAAAGAAAACTAGATTCTGTTTGCTTGCTGGTGCAACATGAGAACAGACAGAAGAATGAAATGATAGTTCAAAATTTTGGCATAGCCATTTGCATGCATGGAGGTAAGAGTGTGAGCTGGAGGTCAATTTGGCAGTTTTAATTATTTGATCCTACCTATTATTTCTACTTTGGGGAATTTATCTTACTAAAACTCCCATGAGTGCCTAGAGATATAAATATTTAAGGATGTTCTATGTAGCACATCATTGTTAATGGTCAGAGACTTACAGGGAAAAAATTCTCAAAATACCCATGAAAATATTTAAATAAATTATGTCTATCCATTCAATGAATTACTATATATTCATTTTAAAGGATTAGTTAAATCCATATATACTGATGTAAAAGATATGTCAAGTGGAATAAGCAAGCCACAAAACTATGCATAATGTGACACCATTTTTCTGTTTGATCATATGTAGAAAAAAGTTTGGAGGCATATGGCAAAAGTGATGAAGTGATAGTACCTGTGGGACAATGGTAATTGATAATTGCGGCTGACACTTCAATGGTACTTATGCCTGGCACTGCTCCAGACACTTTGCTCACAGAGCTAATAGACTAACTCATCTTTCTAGTGGCCTTCTAAGGGTAGGACTGCCCCTGTCTCCATTCTGCAGATGAGGACTGGGGTTCAGAGTGATGGTGACACCTGCACAAGGTCATATATAAGGTCTAAGGAGTAGAGCTGGGAGGCATTCTGCTCAGAAGAACACTTTCTGATGAAGTTCCTTCACATCCTGTACTGTTTCTTTGTCTGAATTCTGGATAGTAAATGTGGTATTTTTATAATGAGGAAAAACAAAAAGAAAAACATTTGGGGGAGGGAGAAGGAAGTACTCACATGCTGATCGAAAAGGAATGCTGATTTTGCCCTGGATGCTGCTGATTGCAACGATGTGACCATGTCGCCTTTTGATCATGGAGGGCAGAATTGCTAAGGAAAGAAGTCAAGGACTTTAGAAGAGGACTTTTCTTTTGGTCACTGCACTTAACACTGAGAGGAGGCAACCTCACTTATTAGATTTTGTTAGAACAAGGAAGGTGTACAGTAAAAGCCCTGCGGTGTGGGAGAGCTATGTTTTGTTGGAATTCTTAGGCCTCCTGCAGATTTCCAGCAGGCCAGCAGACAGGAGGATGGGGGAGGAGACAGAGGCAGACAGGAGCCTAATCAATAAGAACGGCCAGCTCAGTTCCCTTTCCTAGGTAGATCCTTTCCCTTGGAGTGAAATCTGTACCTGGACATGAGAATATCTCCACTTTGTAGGGGTTTGCAAACACCTCTAAGAGGAAATGGAGGCAATGCTGAACAAATGAAGCTGTCAGTGAGGAGAACATCTTGATTTAAGGCTATAAAGCAGATAAAGAAAATGCAAATAAGTCTGGAAAAAACAAATACTCAAGCTGTAATGACAGTACCTTTTCCAGGATAAAATAGAGGATGGAGACAGGTCATTTAACAAACAAGGAACCAAGCGAAGTAAAAACAAAGGCCAACATATTAGTGCTGTTTTTCCTTTCAATCCAAGACTGTTACCTTTTGTTAGAGCAACTGGGCCAAAGTAGTTTGTCTCCATGACTCTCTTGTCCACATCTGTGGTGGTGTCTATGATAGCACCACGGTAGCTGATCCCGGCATTGTTGATGAGCACATCCACATAGCCAAAGCACTGCAAGATCTTGGCTGTTGCTGCAACTATGGCCCCAGGGTCTGCGAGGTCGAAGGTCACAATGTAAGGCTTGTGTGTCTGCACCTGGTCAGATAGGACAGAAATCAAAAACACCTTCAGAATGACAGGCCATGTGAGCTACATGTCCCCGCTAATCAGAGTCCTGGGAGTGGCCCACTGGGCATGAAATCACACAGGCTACAGCGCCTCTCTGAAGAGATGTGGCCTGGAGGATCCTGCCTACAGTGCTCACACCTGACCTGGGCAACTTTTCTCCTGAATTGAAAATTATTAGTAGAGCTAGAAAGTAAATTCCACAGGACAGGGATGATGTATGGTATAGGTTACTGTAGATTACCATAGGAACTATTAATTATAGCTCCTTTTGTTGCCTTGTGCCGGAACTGTGCTATACATTGTAACTAATTAAACAGTACCCATGTTGAAAGATGCTATCCTTCTCAGGTTAAGTCACTTTAATTAATTTGTTCATGAAACATTATATATTCCAGACACTGGGGACACAGTAGAAAGCAAGACAGACATGGTTCCTGTCCTCCTGAAGCAGTCTAGTGGGGAAGACAGATGAACTATGAAGAATGCCACAAAAAAGTATAAGAAGCTAGAGAAATAAGTAACTAAGCAATCTAACTTAAAGGGCTTCTCAAGAGAGTTTAACCAGAGAACAAAATGAGGAGGGTGTGTGTGTGAAATCTACAAAGATGGCAGAGTAGTAAGTGCCAGGAATCCACCTTTCCATCTGGACAACTGTATTGGTAGAAACTCTGAAGTGACTATTTTGGAACTCTGGAATCCATATGAATGCTTAAAGTTTTCAGGAGAGTGCTGGCTGGCAAATGAGAGATAATTTTGGTCAATTTCAGCCATCAGCTCAGTAGTAGCTCTCCATCCCCAATCCACCCAGCCCTGTGGCTGGCAGCTGTGGGAAAGACAACCCACATTTCAGGTACAGCATGGAAGCGGGCAGGTTGGCATTTTTTAACCAGCACTTGCTTAAGTAGCTTCCAGTAGATTTAAAGAAGTCACATATTTTTCTTTGGTATTCAAAAATATAAATAAATCCCCAGAGGACATACCTGAGGAAGCCCAGATGATGGGCTTCCTACTGGACAGACTTTAAGGCAATTGTCTTAAAGATGTTCAGAGTGCTGAAGGAAAACATGGGCAAAGGCAGGAAATTGATGTATAAACAAAATAAAAATATCAATGAATATAAATAATTTTAAAATTTCTGAAACTCAAAAGTACAGTAACAGAAATGAAAAATACACTAGAGGGGTTCAAAATCAGACCTGAGCAAGTAGAACACAGAATGAGTGAACTTTAAGAGAGGACGATTAAAATTAACAAGTCTGAGAATAGAAAGAAAATAAGAAGAAAGAAAACTAAACAGAGCCTAAGGGATCTGTGGGACTTCATCAAGTGGACCAACATGTATATTATGGGAATCTGAGAAGAGAGGGGGTGGGGCAAAGGGTAGAAAGAATATTTGAAGAAATAACTGCTGAAAAATTTTTATGAAAAAATATGAATCTGCACATCCAAGAAGCTCAATACCAAGTAGAACAGTCAATGTAATCCACACAGCAACCACAAAGAACATAGCTATAGAACATACACATGGCAAAATGAGAAGAGAATCAAAGAATTTAACTATAAAAAATTAACTAAACACAAAAGATAGTAAAGCAGGAAATGAGGGACAAAAAAAAGCTATAAAAATAACCAACGTCACCATGAAAAAATAAATTAATTAAGTTTTTAAAAAGCTATAAAGCAAACAGAAAACAGATAACAAAATGGCAGAAATAAGTCCCTCCCTAACAGTAATTATGTTTAATGTGAATAGTTCAAAATTTCTAATGAAAAGACAGATTGGCAGAACAGATTTTTAAAAAATCCAACTATATGCTGTGTTTAAGAGATTCACTTGAGATCCAAAGAAACAAATATATTGAAACTTAAAGGATTAAAAAAAAATTCAGTTTTTTGGAGGAACATGGTAGAGTGATAGACATATCCAGATATCTCCCCTTGAAATGACAATAAGCTGAATATCTAAAACTCAACAAAAAACACCCAAACTGCACACCAGCATGTCTGAGCATGGGATCTGCACTTAAGAGCTACCACAGGTCAGAACTCCAGGTGTCAGGTGGTGGACTTGGAAAAAGAAAGAAGCTGCCTCTTGAAGCTGCCAGAACTCCCTGTAGGAGGAGGGGGAGCAGAGAAGGTGCAGCGAGTTCTCTAAACACCGCTGCCTAAGAGATTTGTGAGTTCCACGAAGCCGACAGTTGGGCCCAGTCATCAGGGCAGAAAGCAGAGAAGGACAGCAGAGATTTTTACTGGCCGCAGTTGCAAAACGAAGGCTGAACCACAGCTCCCATCCCCAACCTAGAGGGCCCTTCGCCCCATATACTCTGAGACAAACACTGCAGCGCCCCAGGGAATCTGAGCAAACGCTAACGAAACTGTGCTAACACTGACAAGGACGGAAACTGAGGGTAGCGAGTGTGATTAAATATCTACAAGAAAATAAAAAGGCATTATTAAGGCTTTATATAAAGCAGGGATCCAAGAGGCTTAGATGACACCTACTGGAAACCAAAAGAAAAGCACCTTCTTTGCGGCAGGCTAAACAGACCTTTATATAATAAATCTTATAAAAAAAAAAAAAAGCAGAAAACACTTCCATTAATGTCCAGGTGGAAAAATAGTTCAATAAACACCATAAACAATCAAGGTGACAAGGCATCTCAGAAAGAAAAAGAAAAAACGCCAGAAAATAAGCTTAAGGACATAGACATATGCAACTTAAATGACAGAGAATTCAGGAAGGTAATTCTGAAAAAATTCAGTGAGTTCTGAAATAAGTCATATCAACAATTTCAGGAACTGAAAAAACAACTACATGAGCAGAGCAAAATGATTAAATGCTCAAAAAGAACAAAATAGAACTTCTGGAGATAAAAAACACCCTGCAAGAGCTGAAAAATGAAACAGAAGCTTGGGAAATAGAGTCAACCAAATGGTGGAAAGGATCAGTGATCTCGAAGACAGAAATCTAGAAATAAATCAGAAGGAAGAAGAGAGAAACCGAAGAATGAAAAACAATGAAAGAGAAATACAAGAACTAGCTGATACTATCAGCAGAGGAAATATAAGAATAATGGGCATTATCGAAGGCGAAGAAAAGGAGCAGGGACTAGAAAGCATTCTCAGAAAAATAGGGGAAGAGAATTTCCCAAAAGTAAGGAATGAGCTGGAACTTGGAATTCAAGAAGTCAACAAAACACTCAATTATCTCAACCCAAAAAGGCCTTCACCACGACATACTGTATTAAAGTTATCAAAAATCAATGACAAAGAGAATTCTCAGGGCAAACAAGGAGAAGAAAACGGTAACATATAAAGGAAAACCCATTAGATTATCATCGGACTTCTCAGCACAGACATTACAAGCCAGAAAGGAATGGAATCAAATATTTAAACTATTAAGTGAAAGGAACGACCAGCCTAGAATAATGTATCCAGCTAAGCTCTCCTTTAGATATGAAGGAGAAATTAAGACCTTTTCAGACATACAAAAATTGAGGGAATTCTCCACTATGAGGCCTGCACTACAGGAAATAACAAAAAAATAAATAATAAAATAAAATACATAATTAGGAGTAAAGTGACTATCAGGCAAATAGAAGCAGAGGAGTGCAACCCTTACTAAGAACAGGACATCATACGCTTAAATAATGAGAAGAGAATTGCTATAGCAAGATAGTAATGAACGTTCAGCATACATAGGGACAAACCGAGACAATGACTGAGGGAGGATTCAAAGATCAAAACTTGCAAAGGGGAAAGGAGATAAGGCACATGCAGAAGAATATGGAGGACTATAAATATATAACTATTCTTTACATATTAATAATGGTGACCACATGCCAAAGATTCAGAACTGAAGTATATAACATAATACAAGAAGGAACAGAGGGAGAACCCACAAAAGCCAACCAAAATAAAGAAAACAGAAGCGCAAGGACAAAGAAGCAATGGAAACACTGAGATACCAGAAAGCAAAGGATAAAATGGCTATAAGACTTCCTATTTCAATAATCACCCTAAATGTAAATGGACGGAACTCACCACTTAAAAGGCACGGAGTTGCAGAATGGATCAAAAAACAAAACCCAACCATATGCTGCCTCCAGGAATCATATCTCAGCTACAAAGACAAATATAGACTCAAAGTGAAAGGGTGGAAAATGATATTTCAAGCAAATAGCATTCAGAGAAAAGCAGGAGTAGCGGTACTAATATCAGATGAAACAGACTTCAAAATAAAAAAGATAAAGAAAGATACTGAGAGGCACTTCATAATGATAAAGGGAATCCTGCACCAAGGATATATAACACGTATTAATACCTATGTTCCCAATCAGGGAGGCTCAAAATATGTAAAGCGATTATTAACAGAATTAAAGGGAGAAAAAGACCAAAACACTGTCGTAGTAGGAGACCTAAATACCCCACTGTCGGATGTGAACAGACCCGAACAGAAATTCAATAAGGAAATAACATCCTTAAATGACACATTAGATCAACTGGACATAACTGACATTTACAGAGCCTTCCAAAGGAATGGAAGGAATGGAATCAAATATTTAAACTAAAACAGCTGCTTATATAGTCTTCTCTAGTGCACATGGAACATTCTTAAGAATCGAACACATACTGGGACACAGAGATAGCCTCAACAAATATAAGAGGGTTGAAATCATACCAACCATATTCTCTGATCATAATGCTTTGAAACTAGAGATCAACTGCAAAAAGAAAGCAGGAAGAACCACAAATACATGGATATTAAACAACATGCTACTGAAGAATAACTGCGTCACAGAAGAAATAAAAACAGAGATCAAGAGGTACATAATAGAAATGAAGGATAATCATAGTACAACATATCAAAACTTTTGGGACATGGCAAAAGCGGTCATAAGAGCAAAGTTCATATCATTACAGGCCTATCTCCAAAACCAAAAATGAGCCCAAAGAAACAACCTAAT